AATCTTACTTCTGTGCAGTTATTATTTTTCCTAAAAATTGATTGCTTCAAATGCTGAACATGGTTTCTTACTTCTTGAACATTTGGCAGAGATCTCACTCTTAAAGAAAAGTCGTATGTCGATTATATGAACAACGTCATAAGTCAATCAGAGGCATGTTTTCTTTTTTTCTCGGGTTTTATTCGAATCGAGATTGCATTTTATTCCACCGTGAATTCTGTGTTCACGAGTGCGTTGAAATTTTTAGCGTGGAAAGGAAATGGGTCGTCTCGCTGCTCGTCAATTTTATGCAAGGTTATTTGCCTTCCACGCTTCTGAAAGAGAGAAAGCGCCCGGTGAATGGGTAAAAATACAAATTTTATGCCCCGCGTTTGGATCACCTGGGCTTGCATGCCATGGACCCTGGCTAAGGGAATATAACGTCCATCGGGACAAGACTAGAATCCTTAAAGCCGTGAAGTAATCCCTGAATGGGCCGAATCATTCAAGGGAGAAATCCTATAATAGCAAATTATGAAAGGACTTCTGTGGGGCTATGCATCAACGACGACGTTAATCCTGATAAGAGGAGGAATATCTGGTATGGACCTAATTAACATTATTTTCATGCTAGTACGAATACCTAAACACGTACATGCATAGTTTTCTCTAATGGAGCGAACCCTTGTCTACGTCGAAAATGTCTAAAGCCTAAATGTTATTTCGAAGGTGTTCATAAACGAGAGCTGACATTCCTGAACTAGCAAAGACGGCTTGTTAAGTTTCCTGGTATGCCGTGCTTCTGTAGCTTGCAGAGAAATACCTTCGATACTTGCAGAGATTGGAACATTGCAGGTAACTAATACCGGCGAATATCCATATTTCAGTTAATACCGTTGCGTCTCAACAAATGTTAGAAGCTGTCAATAACAACACGTTCGCTTACATAAAAGAATCTCATTAATTAAAAAATTACCTTTTATCATAATTAATATAATCTGCCATATTTTAAGCAGTATACGTAAATATCACTAGCAATCGCTAGTAAAGATATCTAGATTTATTTAAAACCATTTGCACTTAGTTCTTAATATCATAAGTTCAAGGTTTCTTTTTTATTTTACAATTGTATAATAGGAAAGCGTTTGCCTGCATGTTAGCAGAAATCTGAAGACTTAAGTATTTACAATTTACGGATGGGTTATAGTTTTTTTATTTAATCCGAAGTGTCACAGACTACATTTATTTATGAAACAGAAAATATCCCGAGATGGTGTACGTACGTATAGTGGCCAACAAATTAAAGTATGCAGATTCACCCAGTCACCGTATAAAGGTATTTGATATCGGTTCGAAAGATCGTATCTAGGTATCGCGGAGAGTCATCTAATTGGAATTGATGTGCACCATGCCCGACAGTCGACGCGCTAAACTTTATCGATCTAAATAGTATCGATAGTAGCATTCCCAATTAGTTATTTCACCAAGTTTCTCGACTCGCAGCCGATCCGTACTGGCCAACTAAGCTGTACGCAGAAAGCTGCGATTCCGACTATTTTACTAGTTGCTGAAAGCGTTCTAGGTTGTAACAACTAAGCGATTTCGATAGCCATTTACGTTTCACAAATTCTTCGCCTTTTCTTATATGACTTAACTTCATTATCAGGTAATTAATTACATAATTACTTCATGTTTTCTTGTGTATACAATTTTTACATAATTTTCATTTTTCTACGCATTATAGTAAATGTCCTAATTTCTATTCACGTTACAACTTCTGTTCTTATATAACTTTCCTCTTTCCGAAAAGGTACTTACCTGATGACTTAAAAATATTCTTATATAAAGACACGAAGTGTAGTCCCGTAAACCCATATTTTTGGCTAATTCTGTGGGTAACATTGAAATTCTGTCTTATCACGCCCCTATCCGAGTCTATTTCCTTAAGGTCGCATATGCAATTATACAGAAGAAAGACAGTGAGCAGAAATTGTGACGGGAACAAAAAATGTAACGTTTACTATAACTGATAATAAATCTTATATCTGTGCTTGAAATTTCAAATCACGTGTCGTCGAAATCGTGTTACGAACTTACCTGACTTTTCATGGGATCGGTGTTAATCTGGCACATGTAGAGTCCTTCGTCCTCCTTCTGCACGTTCTTTATATGAAGATTCCACATGGTATGATCGCTATGAGACACCGAGACCCTGCTGTTGTGAGTTATTACATGATCGTGGATCGCCTGGATCGCTTTAGTTTCCACTTTCAACCAGCCAACCTGCAATAACATTTATTCATTCCTTTCTTAACATCATCTGGATTATTTTACAATTTATTTAATAATACAACTGTTTTCAATTCTCGATTGAGTCATCTAATTGGAATTGATGTGCACCATGCCCGACAGTCGACGCGCTAAACTTTATCGATCTAAATAGTATCGATAGTAGCATTCCCAATTAGTTATTTCACCAAGTTTCTCGACTCGCAGCCGATCCGTACTGGCCAACTAAGCTGTACGCAGAAAGCTGCGATTCCGACTATTTTACTAGTTGCTGAAAGCGTTCTAGGTTGTAACAACTAAGCGATTTCGATAGCCATTTACGTTTCACAAATTCTTCGCCTTTTCTTATATGACTTAACTTCATTATCAGGTAATTAATTACATAATTACTTCATGTTTTCTTGTGTATACAATTTTTACATAATTTTCATTTTTCTACGCATTATAGTAAATGTCCTAATTTCTATTCACGTTACAACTTCTGTTCTTATATAACTTTCCTCTTTCCGAAAAGGTACTTACCTGATGACTTAAAAATATTCTTATATAAAGACACGAAGTGTAGTCCCGTAAACCCATATTTTTGGCTAATTCTGTGGGTAACATTGAAATTCTGTCTTATCACGCCCCTATCCGAGTCTATTTCCTTAAGGTCGCATATGCAATTATACAGAAGAAAGACAGTGAGCAGAAATTGTGACGGGAACAAAAAATGTAACGTTTACTATAACTGATAATAAATCTTATATCTGTGCTTGAAATTTCAAATCACGTGTCGTCGAAATCGTGTTACGAACTTACCTGACTTTTCATGGGATCGGTGTTAATCTGGCACATGTAGAGTCCTTCGTCCTCCTTCTGCACGTTCTTTATATGAAGATTCCACATGGTATGATCGCTATGAGACACCGAGACCCTGCTGTTGTGAGTTATTACATGATCGTGGATCGCCTGGATCGCTTTAGTTTCCACTTTCAACCAGCCAACCTGCAATAACATTTATTCATTCCTTTCTTAACATCATCTGGATTATTTTACAATTTATTTAATAATACAACTGTTTTCAATTCTCGATAACACAGTTCGACGAAAGCAACTTTTCTTCATTTTTTGCAATATTCACTACGTAATTCTTATAGAGTTTCTGATTCCAAAAACAAATCCGAAAGCAGAATTGTTCTACCTAAAAATGCATGATTTTCGGGAAAATTGAAATATTACATATATCTGTGAATGACTTCTTTGTCAGAAATGTCTGTAAAATCTAATACTGTATTAAATTCCTGCTGGATAAAGAAATTTTTACGAAAATTTTAGACAAATAGAACTTGTAAAATATTCGCAACTTCAAACATTAACAATTATTTACAACTATTAAAAAACACGAAAACAAAAAGTGTACGTGGATTATGGAAAGTCTCCTCTATCCGTTGATTAAAAAATGAAGTTTCTCGCGCTCTTAAGTTTCATGTAATTCCAGATTCGTTTTGTGGATGAGAAACTCTATAAGAATTACGTAGTGAACATTGCAAAATAGTTTTGTGTTTTACAGTGTAATTATCTAAGCTGCTTTTTTTATCTCTTGCTAAAAAGCAATGTGCCAATTTGTCATGTAATTTATTACTATTAATTTATACATAAGGCGTTTAGAACGTGCAAATGAGAACAAAAAGTAACAAAGTTAAGATATTAACAGGAATAAATGATACACATATAAAGGTAAAAATACTTTATTGCTCTCTCACTAGACCAACTCTAAAATATTGTTCAATGACAACTGTTCTCCACGTTATAAAATATAACAGTGCTTATTTAAGACCCATTCATATAAAATTTGAAATCCTGCAATCCTTTCATATTGGATCCCTTCTATTTAATATCTTCATTACTGACATTTTCGCGGTCTTCCTATTTTCACGCGTACATTGTTGCTATTTGCAGAAGATCTAAATATATTTCTTTTAATTATCTCTCCAGCCGATTATTATCGTATTTAATACAACTTGAACAGACTTCAGGATTGGTCATCACGCAGTAGATTATATCTAAATATTACTAAGTGTAAACAATTGATTCAATTTAGTGAGCAATTACTGATGTCGCGCAAGGTTCAGGCCCGTTAGTTAAGTGTAACTCCTCTTGCCTTGGGTCAAATCTAAAGGGCTAATGAGACGGCGGCATACGGTGCGCGGCGGTAAACGAGAACGATCAGAGACTTACAGAGATGTTCATAGATTTCGACGGTCGAGAACACCGCAATTTCCCTATAGACAACCCTCGCCCCGGATACGGAATACAAACAAGTCTCGGATACCTACGGGCCAGGGAGAGACGTAAGTGTAGATGTATGTAGGTTCAGGACGGTCGCGGTGGCGAACGTCTTCTATCTCCTCGGGCAAACTTCGGCAGCGATATTTGCATTTTCCTTAGAATATTCGAAATCTCGCGGAGTCGCGGAGGCGTGCACCTCGAGAAACGCTCGTATTAATAGAAAAGGGGTTACCGGGTGTACTCGAGGTCGTAATGGTGTTCGAAATTGTTTTCCGGGAGTGGCTTTCCGAAATGTGTAATTGAAATTTATCCTCGCCCATCTACTAACCTCTGATCGAACTGTACCACGCGAAATTCGTTAACAGTTTTTTACGCAAAAGAAAAATCGAAAGCTTCATAAAGAAGCTTCATCGAGGAATTACAATAAACGAGAAACTAGTAGGAAGCAGAGATTTTAAGTGCTTTTGAACGTGGAAGTATAGTATAAATTAGAATACACAGTTTTTACTTATAAAAAACGATAATAAATTTAATGATTGTTAATTTTTTTACAATATACAGGGAGAGTCTCGTAACACGACGACTTCGAATAATAAATGTAACTCGTATTTGATGTACTATAAAAATTTGTTGCATAGCTTCCAAACATGCATTGCATGCTCCTTCTTATAACTCCTTCACAATATATATTGTATACTTGGTTAGTAAGGAAAATTATATTGAAACCTGATGGACGTCTGTAATGAAAGCGCCCACTCTGTTTCTTTGAGACGCCGTCGATTGATAAAGAACAGTAAAGCTAAGAAGAATAATTAAGTCTCTATCTGATTTATAATTTAGAGTAAAGTGTAACGGTTTCGTGAAGGAATCTTTAATCGGAAAGTTCATGAATGGTAGAGGAGTACAATGAATTCGAGTATGAAAAGCTTTCACGTTTGATCCCCCCTAGCTGGAAAATTAAGGGATCGAGTCAAATGCAAGCAATTTCTTTGACCTTCTCCCCGTCTAAAAGCACTTATACAAAGTTTGCAGCGAGTTCCGTAACTTTTCAGACATTTAAGCAATGAAACGCAACAAATTTGATTGCATAATGCGACCCTTAGCTATTCCTAAGTACCGATCTCGAGATTGTGTACACAGAAGCATTCATAATCGAAACACTCGAACATTTACGTATGCACGTTCGTCCTTTGATCGTAAACTTCAATTTCAAATGAATTGCATGCTAAAATGTAACGATTTAATTACGAAATCAAGATTACATTATAAAATATCTCAAATCAATAGAGTAATTCCACGAGTGCGATCCGAAAATACTTGAAATTACTGCTACAATTATTTCAGTGAAGTTCAAACATTCCAATTACATTTGTATTAAATATCCCACACACTACACGTACATGTGACTTCTTCATCGTTCTCAATTATCGAGTTTAACCCATTAAATCCCAAGTTGCATTAACACATCAATTTACTCTCAATCCTTTTCAGCATACTGACGGTATTAAAAATTGTTTTTTCCATATTGCAGTATATACGTTATTCCCATTATTATTTTTCAACAATTTTACGTTTTGCACAGAGTTAAATATGCAAATGGCAAAATGCAGGATATAAAAATTAGCACAAAAATATGTTTGGTATGATTTGTGTTGTTTCTTACGCGCTTTTGCAAGTAATAAATAATTGTATGGCCTCGTTTCACTTGGAACTTAATGTGTTAATAACGTTACACGTTCAGTTTCAGTTTCATCGGGTTCAACGTAACTCCGATAATGACCGTAATGGAATTTGCGAAATATGATGCAATTAGTTTAACTGGCCGGTGTAAGACTCACCGGACAGAGCGAGATAGATACAGAGACAGGGGTAGTATTGAATTACGAAATAATCTCGCTGAGAAATTGCGAATGCACGCTTCATCCACGCCGCCGTCCTCGCCAGGACTTACCGCCAGCATTTCTCGCTCGGGGCATGAAGCCTTTGAATGAAAAATTAGCAGCAGTCGCTCGTTACCACTTTACTTTCGCATAATGTCATTAGACGTCCGTAATAAGATTGTTTATCTCTCTGTAGTCGTCACCAAAGCGATCTTAACGAAAGAACCCTGTTTGCTTTGCTTGCCCTTCTTCTCAATATTCAACATCCCTTTTTTATGTTACTTATTCTTTGTTTATCTGTTCTTATTGAACATATAGAATATACCTGGGATGAAAATAAAATATCTGCTTGCTTCTCTGTTCGAAAATCTCTTCATTTAATACAACATGGAAGACAATATAAAGATTCTAATTTGGGTTTTTGAGAGATCTACGTAACTTTTGTATACGCTATAAATCCATCATAGAAGTTCGAGGTTAAAGATATTTTACATTGTTATTCTCCCCCCCCCC